GCAAGGCTCCCAACCTCACCAGGCACCCTCCAATGGCATTTTATATATATACTACCATCGTTGTTTGATTTAATGATTTTCCTGTGTGTCTACAAGATTTTAACAGGCAAGCGCTCAAGAATCACCAGGAAGCCGGCAAATTGAATGCAGGTGCAATTGAAAAGCCCCTAAAATCACCAGAGTGCGAGAGTGCTTTGACTACCATCCTGCCATGTATGCCTGGTTTGAGTGACTGGCGCCTCCAACATCACTCTGTGGGCTTTTCCTTTTTGCACTGCCTGCAGAAGCATGCGAGAATAGCAACATTGGGCACACTGGTGAGCTGTAAACTACTCAAGAACTGCCTGGGAGCAAATGATTGTGGAGAGCACCACTCTTATAAAATGAGTAATCAGGTAAAAAAGCGCTGCCTGCACCATGCACCCACAAAAGGCATTGTATAGACATGTATAGACAATCATTGTCTAACCTGACTTGCCAAAAATAAACTCACTCCCCTCATGCCTGATTTCGGAAACCTCTTGGCTTTCTCAATGGACAGTCCTACAGGACCAGCTTCGCCCAAGTCCCAAGAGGTTAGACAAAGAATGCTTGACTATATACATGATACATCATGAAACTAAACGTATACAGCATACTGTCGAACAAATACAATGACGGTAGGCTCAAGGAACTTTATCTATAGCAAATCCAATGCAGGAGCACTGTGTTTGGGCGGCGCTCCATATTCCAGCTTGATCTTCTGTGACTCTGTCAGGTCAGTGTTCAGCGTCTTCTGTCCTGCCCCAAACATGCTTGGAATGGTAGAGGGCTGGCTTGGAATGAATGAAGAAATTCTGGACAACTAAATGCAGCTCCTGGTGTAGAAGGCAAATTCATCTCTGCATCTCCACGTCCAACTTTCTCAGCAGCTCCTCCGAGCTTATAAAATGCTCAGTCATGAAAATAACCTCTGTGCTTGTCACGCAGGCAGACAACTTGGCATTCCATACTCTCAGCACAGTCTCTCACATTCTCTTGTCAATGGTGGCAAGAAGTTGCAAGGAAAGAAAAAAGAACAAAAAGAAGCGAAAGTAGCATAGAATAACATAGAATAACTATTGTCCTGCTCCCCCAGAAGCAAGAGCCGATTCAACGTTATCTTCTCCTGGGCCGAGAGAGGCAGATCAAAAAGATTGGGTGATCAACTGGTTTGTCCGCCAATGGGCCAAAAAGAAAAGACATGCTCCTGGCATGGAAGGCAATCCCGTTTCTGCTTCTCCTTCAGGTCTCGCAGCACCTCCTCCAAGTTTATAAAGTGCCAACCCCCAAGAAAAATGCAAGTGCTTGCTCCACAGGTAAACAATGTGGCTTTCCATAATCTCACCAACTCTCTTGTCAGCAGTGGTTCTCCTCCTACAGAAGTAGGATCCAGTGGTGGTTTCTCATCTTGTGATTCTCCTGGTCCAGAGCGTCAAATAAAATAATGTTTATTGAAACATACAGAAATATGTAGAAACATGTAGAAACATAAATGCAGCTCCTGGTGTAGAAGACAAATTCTTCTCTGCATCTCCACGTCCACCTTTCTCAGCAGCTCCTCCGAGCTTATAAAATGCTCAGGCATGAAAATAACCTCTGTGCTTGTCACGCAGGCAAACAACTTGGCATTCCATACTCTCAGCATAGTCTCTCACATTCTCTTGTCAATGGTGGCAAGAAGTTGCAAGGAAA